TCTTGGGATCCCCACCCCCACCCCAGTCTCAGGGGAACTAGCAACCAGGTCTTTAGGAACAACTGGGATCTGCTGGCTCAGCCCTCACCTGAAACTGGTAGAGCTTTAAGATGGCCTTCATTAGGAGGTATGAGGCTGAAGTTACGATCCCCAGGTCTGAGCTTTCAAAGCAAGCATTTAGCTCAGATAATTTTTGTGAGTGATTTGCTTGGGGTTAGGGGACCGATTCTGGCAGACCCCCGAGGGAAACAGACGCTCAGGATGTGGAGGCAGGATGGTCACCTGCCCCAGGGAGGGGACAGCTTGTGCCAAAACACCACCACCAGAAAGCAGAGGAAAGGGATCCGTGTGTCTGCCGTCCGGGATGGAGAATCAGCACAAGGTATGAACTTTGACAGCCCTGGGTTCCAACCTCAGCCTTTCCTTCATGCGCTGTGTCTCTAGGCATTTTTTTTTTTTGAGACGGAGTCTCGTGCTCTGTACCCCAGGCTGGAGTGCAGTGGCGCCATCTCGGCTCACTGCAAGCTCTGCCTCCCGGGTTCACGCCATTCTCCTGCCTCAGCTTCCTGAGTAGCTGGGACTACAGGTGCCTGCCACCACACGCGGCTAATTTTTTCTTTCTTTTTTTTTTTTTTTTTTTTTTGAGACGGAGTCTCGCTCTGTCGCCCAGGCTGGAGTGCAGTGGCCAGATCTCAGCTCACTGCAAGCTCCGCCTCCCGGGTTTACGCCATTCTCCTGCCTCAGCCTCCCGAGTAGCTGGGACTACAGGCGCCTGCCACCTCGCCCAGCTAGTTTTTTTGTATTTTTTTTAAGTAGAGACGGGGTTTCACCGTGTTAGCCAGGATGGTCTCGATCTCCTGACCTCGTGATCCGCCCGTCTCGGCCTCCCAAAGTGCTGGGATTACAGGCTTGAGCCACCGCGCCCGGCCAAATTTTTTCTATTTTTAGTAGAGACAGGGTTTCACCGTCACTGTTAGCCGGATGATCTCCATCTCCTGACCTCATGACCCTCCCGCCTTGGCCTCCCAAAGTGCTGGGATTACAGGTGTGAGCCACCACGCCCGGCCAGCCTTAGGCATCTTAATGTCGCTTAGTAGCCTCAGTTCCCCCGCCTGCCATACAGGACCTACTTTGTTTTTTTGAAACAGGGTCTCACTCTGTTGCCCAGGCTGGAGTGTGGTGGTGCCATCAAGGCTCGCTGCAGCCTCAAGCTCCTGGGCTCAATCAATCCTCCTGCTTCAGCCTCCCCAGCAGCAGCCGGGACTACACATCCCCACGCCTGGCTAATTTTTTTTTTTTTTTTTTTTTTTTTTTTTTTGTGGAGACAGGATCTCACTTTGCTGCCCATGCTGGTCTCAAACTCATAGGCTCAAGCAATCCTCCAGCCTTGGCCTCCCAAGGTACTGGGATTACAGGCATGATCCACAGCACCTGGCCAGGACCTACTTTAGATGGGACCTACTTTGACTGGGAGGAAGATGCTCTCTTTTCTGCTGCTGGTCATCTTGGGATGCCCAGTCTCAGGGGAGCTATCAGCCAGCTCTTTAGGAACGACTGGGATCTGCTGGATCAGTCCTCACCCGAAACTGGTAGAGCTTTAAGATGGCCTTCATCTTAAGAGGGCTGTTTTTCCTACTTTCTTCTTATTATTTTTCTTCCATCCATGGGACTCTGATATGTTTTTCCTCCTTTAGAGGGCTGTTGTGTAAACAGGCAGTGCAAGTAACTACAGAGAATGGTGCCTGGCATACAGTAGGTGCTCAATAAATGCTCACTAGTACTGTGTCCCCCAGGAGACGGCTTTGAGAGCAGCACCTGCTGATTCAAATCCACTCCTTTGATGCCACACCAAACAGTCAGACGACAGCCCAACAGCTGTCACCTGTGGCACTGTCCAGTCCCGAATGAAACCAGACCACAGGTGCGTGAAGGCAAGAGATGGGAGACACCCACCTTTGGGAGAGCCCTCCGACCCAATGCACCATGGAAGTAGCACGCACCCCACAGCAGGGCCTCCCTCCACTGCCACGTGCGGCGGGGGCACAGGGATTAACCACACGTTGGTATCGACAGCTCGATCCTTATCCCCAAGGGGGCCTGGAACCTGCCTGGCACATGGCAGGGGCTCAGCAAAATCCCACAGACCCAGCTAACGGGGTGGTGCTTTCTAGTGGGGGTTTGACTGTTCTAATAGGGAGAAAACCAGAATTTTAGAATGGAACAAATTTACACAAGGAAGTGAGATGAGATGGCAGATGAAGAAAAAAAAAAGGTGGGGGGGGTCCTGGTGTGGTGGCTCATGCCTATAATCCCAGCACTTTGGGAGGCTGAGGCGGGTGGATCATTTGAGGTTAGGAATTTGAGACCAGCCTGGCCAATGTGGTGAAACCCTGTCTCTACTAAAAATATAAAAATTAGGCCAGGTGTGGTGGTGCACGCCTGTAATCCCAGTTACTCGGGGGGCTGAGGCAGGAGAATTGCTTGAACCCAGGAAGCGGAGGTTGCCAAGATTGCACCCCTGCACTCCAGCCTGGGTGACAGAGCAAGACTCCATCTCGAAAGAAAAAAAAAGAAAAAGAAAAAGGGAAGGGGGATTTTCCTCATTAAGCCCGAACCAGCTCTAGGAAATCCAAGTTCACCAAAGACGCTTACTGGCTTCATCGGTGAGTCTTGCTGGAAAGCAGGATAGGTTTGACCAAAACACAAACACCAACACATAGCTCTCCACCGTCCCTGTCCCAGCTCCTCAGGCACCAGCTGAGGAAGGCTTCCTGTGAACTTCATTCTCCCCAACTTAAAGGAGCCACCCTTTCCTTCTAGAGGTAACCCTACCGAAAAGCAGGGGTTAGTGGTTTTCGTTTTTTTTTTTTTTTTGGTCGCTCAGACGGGAGTGCAGTGGTGCAGTCATGGCTCACTGCAGCCTCAACTTCCTAGGCTCAAGTAATCCTCCCACCTCAGCCTCTGAAGTAGCTGGGATTACAGGTGCATGCCACCATTCCTGGTTACTTTTAAAAATTAATTCTAGAGGCTGGGTGTGGTGGCTCATGCCTGTAATCCCAGGACTTTGGCAGGCGGATCACAAGGTCAGGAGTTCAAGACCACCATGGCCAATATGGTGAAACTCCATCTCTACTCACAATACAAAATTAGCCGGGCATGGTGGCATATGCCGGTAGTCCCAGCTGCTTGGGAGACTGAGGCGGGAGAATCACTCGAACCCGGGAGGCGGAGGTTGCAGTGAGCCGAGATGGCGCAACTGCACTACAGCCCGAGTGACAGAGTGAGACTCCATCTTAAAAAAAAAAAAAAAAAAAAAAAAAAAAAATTGTAGATACAGAGGTCTTATTATGTTGCCTAGGCTTCCCAAGGTGCTGAGATTACAGACGTGAGTCGCTATACTCAGACTATTTTTTATTTTTGTAAAGGCAGGCTCTATGCTGCTCAGGCTTTTTTTTTTTTTTTTAAATACAGCAACATACTGTTTTTCAAATGAAATTTTACACAAAGCCCCAGTATATAACATAGAGGCCAGGTGCAGTGGTTCATGCTTGTATTCTTAGCACTTTGGGAGACCGAGGTGGGAAGATCGCATGAGTCCAGGAGTTTGAGACCAGCCTGGCCAACATGGCAAAACCTGCGTCTACGGAAAATACAAAAATTAGCTGGGCATGGTGGCAGGTGCCTGTAATCTGTTACTCAGGAGGCTGAGGCAGGAGAATCGTTTGAACCCGGGAGGCAGAAGTTGCAGTGAGCCGAGATCACGCCATTGCACTCCAGCCTGGGTGACAGGGCAAAACTCTGTCTCAAAAAAATAATAATAAAATAAAATAAGCCCCAGTATATAACATAGAAACCCCTCTGGCTAGGGGAGGTGGCCCTAGGGCTCTCTGTTCACTTGGACCAATGCCATGGATGGATCCACCCACCTCCCACTTCCCCAGTTGACCCACGCCAAGGACGTATCAGGCAATTCTCTTCCAGTATCTTTTTAATGACTTAAACACCAGCGCGCAGACCTGCAATGTAAACGGCCTCATTTCTGTGCTCTGTGCTTTGGGAGGGATGGGGACGCCATTTCCCACCTTGGCTGAGTTAAGTTAAAACCTGTCTTGCAAATAAATTTAAATAATTTCCTAACACGGCAAAAAAAAAAAAAAAAAAAAAAAAAATCCAAACGAGACCTAGTTTCCATCCAGGGACACGATGTTTCTGGACACCCCCGGTGGCTGCTCCTCCTAAGGGCCTGGCCACTGCAGGGAGGATGTAGTGAGAATGGCTTTCCTTCTGCTGTTTGCTCCTGTCTGCCTGGGCTGATGGAGTCTCGCTCTTGAGAAAAAGTCTTGCTGGGGCAGGTCCTCTGGCAGCCCCAGCACCTCACCCTGAGACATGGGAACCTGAGACTTTGTCCGAAGCTCGGCTGGAAGGCTGGTCTTGGCACTCAACGTCTTAGCTAGTGGATTTATTGCATTAAGACTGTACTTGGGCCTTTTTCATGATGACTTGGGTCCTAATCCTCGAAGCAGCTGAAAAAAACAGCCCGGGCCACCTGTAGATGCGCCCACAATGAAATCAGAGGCCGCGTGAGGTTTGCAAGGCGGAGTGGCCTGTAGTTTTAACTCGGGCACGATGGCGATGCAGACCCAAACCAATTGTGCCAGTTCTTGCTGGGTGGCAAAGTGTTGTCAGGCTTTGTGGTCACTCCTGATTTCTGCTTGGAAGAACAGTTCTCTTTCTAATGAGAATGGAAAATTGGAAAGGCCTGTAAAATCGGAAAGCCTGTAAAAGGCGGTAGAGTGGAGATGTATAAAAATGTACGGTCGCCCGTGTTTTAGGGGTCGACACCCATGGACTTTTATCTCGCTCACCAAATTCCTCACACACACAGAGCTCACTCCTGTGGCCTCGGCCATCTCGGGCACCACAAAATCCTCACGGCTTGAAATTCACTTATGGAGTCCAACAAACAACTTTCTTTAAAAAAAAAAAAAAAAAAAAAAAAAGGCAGCAAAATCTCAGAACTTCTGTGCAATGCTTGCAACCTGCCCACTTATTAAATAAATAGAACACCAAACCAACCGAAAGCTATGCAAGTGGCAGGCTGCCCTGGGCAGAGCCCTGCCTGTCTGCCAGGGACTACGGTGGCACGGGAGCAGGGCGTGATCGTGCTGGAAGAAATGAGAGGTGGGCTCATTCCCTGACTTTCAGACTCTCATCTCGGGAGCCCCCAGTCCTAACACTGTATTCGGCAGCTGGAGTTATCCGGCCACGTAAAGGGGCAAGGGAAGGAAGGCCGTCCTCAACTTCTTCCTGTGTTTCTAGCAGGGAAGGAACGCAATGGCTTCGGTCCCTCCACCTCTAGGTAACAAGGCAAAGGCCTCTGTAACCCAGGCAGACAGGATGTGGGGAAGGCCTTGTGTCTTTCCCTAACTCAGAATGAGTGAGCGGGCTCCTGGAGAAAGACTGTCCTCTTAGCACGTGACCCTGAAGGCTTCTAGCACCAAAGGCTGGCTAACACCTCCCACCCTCTCTGCAGGTCAAGGGATGGGAGGCGGAAGAACCCTTCTCCTGATTGGTGCCGGAAGGAGGCGAGACGGAGCATCTGCTACACCCCAGCCCGATTTCCCGCTTTTCAGCAGGAGCGTGGAGAGGTGAGGGTACAGACGTTCTGGGCAGGTCAGTGCAGTTCAATGAATGCCTCCAGATCTTCCGGGATGAAGCCCTTGTAAGGGATCTTGTTCTTATCCAGGGCCCGGGCCGCAAGGCACTGCAGGGTAACGTAGTTGAAGGGCTGCATGGTACCCCTGGCCAGCAGCTTCTCGTCCAGCAGCTCGTAGGCCGTCTTCTTGAAGGCATTAGTGGCATCCATGTGGGCCCCTGCTTCGATCAGGGCATTCATGATGGCCGGGCAGTTGTTCTGGGCTGCTATGTGTAGTGGGGTGTTGTTGTCAAAATCCCTGCTGTCCGGGTCGGCCCCGCAGTCGAGCAGCACTTTGACCACGTGCAGGGAGGGGAATCTGCCCACGGGGTAGCGGCCCACGTTTGTGGTGTCCTTGTCCACAGCCATGTGCAGAGGGGTGAAGCCGTTCTTGCCCCTGGGTGCGCACTTGAGCAGGCGGTAGACGGTCTGGTGCTTCAGGTGCTCCTGGCTGGGGGTGCACTCCACTTTCTCTAGCAGGTAGAGCAGGTGGAGGATGATGGCCAGCGCCTTGGTGAACTGGGCCGAGTCTCCGGGCTCCCTGGGCAGCTGCAGGGCCCGTTCCACTTCCCGGACCCCTTTGGTGAGGACCCCCATGAGGTCTGCAAAGCCGATCTGGGTGCCCAGACTGCCCTTGGCGGCCCGGTCCTGCAGCACGTAGGAGAAGAGTTCCGCGAAGGAGAGGAAGCTGCTGGCGGTCATGGGGCTCAGAGGCTCCAGGTTGGTCTGTTGCATGTCCAGGGCGTACTTCCACAAGCGGATGCAGCGCTCGAAATTGCCCGAGTCGGCGTACACGGCGCCCCTGTAACGGATATAATAGGAAGTGTCGGGGTGCGAGGGACCGAGGATGCGCTCCCGGATCAACAGGGCCTGCATGCGCATCTCATCCGGGTCGGTGATCAGCGCCTCCAGCTCCTCGGTGGTGTTGACCTCCCTGGAATAGTCATAGGCCAGGACCAGCTGTGGGGGCTCCGGTTTGGGCAGGTACTCGCCCCCCTGGTGACGCAGCTCCATGGCCCGCCTCCAGTGTTTGAGGGCCCCAAGCAGATCTCGTTTCTTATCCACATACGTAGCTCCCAGCAATTCCAAGGCTTCCACGGCAGCTTCCCGGCTGGTGGGACAGCAGCTTTCATAAGATTCCCCGTTCAGTGGTTCCTCCGGGGAGGAGCTACAGCATGGGGCCCCCTGAGGCTGCGCACACCCCTGGCTGGTAGAGGGGCCTTCTTGGGGCAGCCCAGGCTGAGCCTCTCCCCCTGCGATCTGCTCCTGGCCGGGCTGCTCCTGGATGAGGTACTCCACAATGTTGGTGTGGCCCGTCACACTGGCCGCAAGCAGCGGGGTCATGCCGTAGCCGTCACGTTCCATGCGGGCCTTGCACCCCAGCAGCAGCTGCAGGATCTCCAGGCTGCCGGACTCGGCGCAGTCGTGCAGGGCCGTGTTGCCCTTGGCGCTGCGCCGGTTCACCTGGGCGCCCTGCTCCAGCAGGTAGCGGGCGATCTCACGATGGCCCTTGTAGCACGAGATCATGAGGCACGTGTGGCCGTGCCGGTTGGCCACCTCAAGGTCGGCCTGGTGCTCGCCGACCAGGTAGCGCACCACCTCCAGGTGGCCGTCGAAGCAGGCGGCGCGCAGGGGCGTGGAGTTGGTGCGCGTGGTGCGGTTCACCGAGGCCCCGCGGCGCAGCAGGCTCCGCACCACGTCCAGGTGGCCGGCGGCGGAGGCGGCCCACAGCGGCGGCGCGCCCTCGATGGTCTCGCCATCGAAGTGCACCGAGCCACCGGCCTCCACGCTCGCGCCGCACCGGTCCACCAGGTACTCCACCACATCCAGGTGGCCGTAGCGCGCGGCGATGAGCAGCGGCGTCCCCCCGCCGGCCACCTCGCCTGTCAGCTCGTCCAGTTCCTCCCGGCTCCGGCCGCTGAGCAGCTTCTGGAGCAGCTGCAGCTTGCCGTCACGGGCAGCGTTGTACACGGCGGTGCGGAGGTCCATGGTTCGGGCCTCCGCCAGGCCATGGGCCGGCCGCCGGAGGACGGGGAGACAGAGGATCAGAGCCCGGACGGGCGGGAGGCAACCTTCACCGTCTCCCTCGCCGCCATCTTAGGGGTTCCTCGGGCGGAACAAAATGGCTGCCGCGACCCGACGAATGGGAGCACGCCGGGAAATGGAGTCCTCTGCGCGGGCCCACTCCATAGAACAAAAAAGGAATCATGGGGGATTAAGACTACACTTCCTAAAAGGCCACAGGACAGCCCCTGCGAGCTGTGAGCGCGCGGCATGATGGAAATTGGTGTTCCAGTTGCAGTGCATGACCGGGGAAGTTAGCAATTTGAGAACTACAATTCCCGTCATGCAGCGCTACACGACCTAGCTTGTGGGAACCGGCGAAATTTGGTGACGTACTTCCCGTGGCTGTCTCTACGTCAGAGCCTATGGAAAAAGCCTGCACGATGCCCTTAAGGACTACATTTCCCAAAAGGCATGGCGAGCGACTCTGAGCCAGTCAGGACCTAGACCGAAGGCCAAGCTCGGCCAGAGGGGGCGAGTCATGATTCGGGGTTGGAGCATAGGCGAGCAGCCCACCGGCAGGGGGCGCCAAGAGGAGGCCGAAAAGCCAGGCAGGGCGAAAGCGTTTTGAGCTGGGAGAACAGGGAGAGATAAGGGTAAAAAATTACGCGCTCAGTTCTTATTCCCCCATTCATTTATTCATTCATTCATTTACATGCATTTATTTATATCCTAGCATATGTCAGAATTTCCTTCTTCTATTTTATTTACGTAATTATTTCTTTCAATAACTTCGTGGGATTTTTTTGTGTGTTTTTGTTTTTGAGACAGTCTCTGTCTGTCGCCCAGGCTGTAGTGCAGTGGTGCAATCTCGGCTCACTGCAACATCCACCTCCCGGGTTCAAGCGATTCTTGTGCCTCAGCCTCCCGAGTAGCTGGGATTACAGGCGCCCGCCACCACACCCAGCTAATTTTTGTATTTTTAGTAGAGACGGGGTTTCACCATGTTGGCCAGGATGATCTCGAACTCCTGGCCTTAGGCGATCCCCCCGCCTTATCCTCCCAAAGTGCTAGGATTACAGGCGTGAGCCCCTGTGCCCGGCCTGACATGCTGATTTCAATTCCTTTGGATAAATACCCAGAACTGGGATTGCTGGATCATCTGGTAGTTCTATTTTTAAATTTTTCTTTGGAACTTCCATACCATTTTCCATAATGGCTATACTAATTAAAATTACCATCAATAGTGCGTAAGTGTTCTCTTCAAATCCTTGCCAACATTTGGTACCTTTCATCTTTTTGATAATAGCTATTCTAGCAGTTGTAAGGTGATCCATTTCCTGGCATTTTTTTGACAGCAGTGAATTATGAGACAGAAATCTTTGGTGGCCCGAATTATTTATTTTTAAAATGTATTCAAGATGCAATATATATACACTAAAATGCATTTTTTTTTGAACGGAGCCGTCTGCGCCAGCGGAGGCAGCCGGTCTCGCCCGCCCCCCCCCCCCCCCCCCCCCGGCGGCCGCCCCCCCTCGCCGGCTAGTTTTTGTATTTTAGTAGACGGTTCCGTGTAGCAGATGTCTCATTCTGACTTGTGATCGCCGTCTGGCTCCAAGTGCGGATACAGGCTGAGCCCGCGCGGCTGCAATGCATTTAATAAAGAGGACAGGGCCGGGCGCGGTGGCTCAAGCCTGTAATCCCAGCACTTTGGGAGGCCGAGACGGGCGGATCACAAGGTCAGGAGATCGAGACCATCCTGGCTAACACGGCGAAACCCCGTCTCTACTAAAAACACAAAAAATTAGCCGGGGGAGGTGGCGGCGCCTGTGGTCCCAGCTACTTGGGAGGCTGAGGCAGGAGAATGGCGGGAACCCGGGAGGCGGAGCTTGCAGTGAGCTGAGATCTGGCCACTGCACTCCAGCCTGGGCGACAGAGCGAGACTCCATCTCAAAAAAAAAAAAAAAAAAAAAAAAAAAAGAGGACAGGTTTGGCTAGGCAGGGTCACTCACACCTGTAATCTCACCACTTTGGGAGGCTGAGGTGGGAGGATTGCTTGAACCCAGAAATTCGAGACCCGCCTGGGAAACATAGCCCATCTCTACAAAAATACAAAAATTAGCTGGGCGTGGTAGCGTGCACCTGTTGTCTCAGCTATTAAGGAGGCTGAAGTGGGAGGATTGCTTGAACCTCTGAAGTCAAGGCTGCAGTGAGCCATGATTGCACCATTGCACTTCAGCCTGGGTGACAGAGGGAGACCCTGTCTCCAAGATAAATAAATGAAAATAAATAAATAGAACAGGTGTGACAAACATGCAGTTATGTAGCCAGTATCACAACTGAGATGTTCAACAGCATCTTCATTCAGAATGTTATCTCATGCTGGCTGGGAGCAGTGGCTCATGCCTGTAATCCCAGCACTTTGGGAGGCCCAGGCGGGTGGATCACGAGGTCAGGAGATCAAGACCATCCTGGCTAACACGGTGAAACCCCGTCTCTACTAAAAATACAAAAAATTAGCCGGGCGTGGTGGCAGGCACCTGTAGTCCCAGCTACTCAGGAGGCTGAGGCAGGAGAATGGCCTGAACCCGGGAGGCGGAGCTTGTAGTAGTGAGCCGAGATTGCGTCACTGCACTCCAGCCTGGGGGACAGAGCGAGACTCCATCTTGAAAAAAAAAAAAAAAGAAAAAAAGAATGTTGTATCATGCCCTTTTGGTCAACGCCTTTGTCCACCCGCAGCCACTAGTAAATGCTGATCTGTTCTCTGCATTTCATAATAACAGCATAGAAATGGAAAAATGCAATATGCGGCCTCTGGGGTCTGCTGCTTTCATTCAGCACAATGCATTCAAGATGCAACTATGCTGTTGCGCGTATTAGTAGCTCGTTGCCTTTTATTATGGAGCTGTATTCCATGGCAAGAATGAGCCACCATTCTTTTATCCATTACGTAATGGTTCTTTCCAGTTTTAGATGACAAATAAACCTGCTATAAACTTCTGCGTACAGGTCTTTGTGTGGAAATATGTTTTCATTTCTCTTGGGTAATGCCTACGAGTGTAAGTATTCTTTTTTTTTCTTTTCTTTTTTTCTTTTGAGATAGAGTTTCGGCCGGGTGCGGTGGCTCAAGCCTGTAATCCCAGCACTTTGGGAGGCCGAGACGGGCGGATCACGAGGTCAGGAGATCGAGACCATCCTGGCTAACACAATGAAACCCCGTCTCCACTAAAAATACAAAAAAATTAGCCGGGCGTGGTGGCGGCGCCTGTAGTCCCAGCTACTCGGGAGGCTGAGGCAGGAGAATGGCGGGAACCCGGGAGGCGGAGCTTGCAGTGAGCCGAGATCGCGCCACTGCACTCCAGCCTGGGCGACAGAGCGAGACTCCACCTCAAAAAAAAAAAAAAAAAAAAAAAAAGAGATAGAGTTTCACTCTTTTTTTTTTTTTTTTTTTTTTTTTTTTTGAGGCGGAGTTTCGCTCTGTCTCCAGCTGGTGCAGTGCCGGATCTCACTCACTGCAAGCTCCGCTCCCGGTTTACGCATTCTCCTGCTCAGCCTCCATAGCTGGACTACAGGCGCCCGCCACCTCGCCCGCTAGTTTTTTTGTATTTTTTTATAGAGACGGGTTCACCGTGTAGCCAGGATGTCTCGATCTCCTGACTCGTGATCCGCCCGCTCGGCCTCCCAAAGTGCTGGGATTACAGCTTGAGCCACCGCGCCCGGCCTAGTTTCACTCTTATTGCCTGGGCTGGAATGCAATAGTGCGATCTGGGCTCACCACAATCTCCACCTCCCAGGTTCAAGCAATTCTCCTGCCTCAGCCTCCCAAATAGCTGGGATTACAGGCATGCGCCACCACGCCCAGCTAATATTGTATTTTTAGTAGAGACAGGGTTTCTCCATATTGGTCAGGCTGGTCTTGAACTCCTGACCTCATGATCCGCCCGCCTCAGCCTCCCAAAGTGCTGGAAAGTGCTGGGATTACAGGCGTGAGCCACCTCTCCTGGCCACCAATTCTTTTTTGATGCTTTCTTGTGTGTGGTACAACATGAAGAAATGCCTCCAAATAGGATTTCATGGCATATTTGAAATGTTTTTAATGAACAATTCAACCATTTGAAATATACATACACACACCCCAAAGTAATTTTTTTTTTTTTTTTTTTTTTTTTTTTGAGACGGAGTCTCACTTTGTGGCCCAGGCTGGAGTGCAGTGGCCGGATCTCAGCTCACTGCAAGCTCCGCCTCCTGGGTTTATGCCATTCTCCTGCCTCAGCCTCCCGAGTAGCTGGGACTACAGGCGCCCGCCACCTCGCCCGGCTAGTTTTTTGTATTTTTTAGTAGAGACGGGATTTCACCATGTTAGCCAGGATGGTCTCGATCTCCTGACCTCGTGATCCTCCCGTCTCGGCCTCCCAAAGTGCTAGGATTACAGGCTTGAGCCACCGCGCCCGGCCTTTTTTTTTTTTAGACAGAGTTTCACTCTTGTTGCCCAGGCTGGAGTGCAGTGGTGTGATCTTGGCTCACTGCAACCTCCACCTCCCGGGTTCATTTATTTGTTCGTTTTTTGAGACGGAGTCTTTCTCTATTGCCCAGGCTGGAGTGCAGTGGCCGGATCTCAGCTCACTGCAAGCTCCGCCTCCCGGGTTCACGCCATTCTCCTACCTCAGCCTCCCAAGTAGCTGGGACTACAGGCGCCCACCACCACGCCTGGCTAGTTTTTCTGTATTTTTAGTAGAGACGGGGTTTCACCGTGTTAGCCAGGTTGGTCTCAATCTCCTGACCTCGTGATCCGCCCGTCTCGGCCTCCCAAAGTGCTGGGATTACAGGCGTGAGCCACCGCGCCCGGCCCACCTCCCAGGTTCAATCGATTCTCTTGCCTTAGCTTCCCAAGTAGCTGGGACTACAAGCACGCGCCACAACACCCAGCTAATTTTTGTATTTTTAGTGGAAATGGGGTTTCACCATGTTGGCAAGGCTGGTCTCGAACTCCTGGCCTTAAGTGATCCACCCACCTCAGCCTCCCAAAGTGCTGGGATTACAGGCGTGAGCTACCATGCCCGGCCACTTCATTGTGTTTTAATGTCCTTCCACAGATGGCAACATCTTG